ATGGGGAGTGATTAGTCGTAGGAGAATTCCAACGTGGGAAGCGCGCCCTCCCATTTGTTTCGGTCGGGGAAGTTTGTCCGAAATCAGCTCCTCCATCGTTTGGTTTGTCCTTTTCTGTCTGATCGTCCGTTTTGGGGATGATAAGCGGATGAAAATTGCAGACGCGTGCCGTACTAAACTTCTGATCTCGATCGCTAATGATTGCTGCTGGTATCCCGTGTGTAGGCGGAACAACGGTCGAGATGAATAGTCGCGCGGTTTCTTCGCCTGTGATGGTTGTACGACATGGTGCGAAATGCGCCATTTTCGTCAATCTGTCGACGACAACCAGTAGTGCGTCGTTTCCGCTCGATCCGGACAGTTAGACCTGTAACGAAATCCATCGTCACGAGTTGCCATGGGCGTTGAGGTGGCTCGAGGGCTGCAACAGTCCTGTCGGTCGCTGATGTAATGATCTCATTCGCTGGCATAATCGAACACACGGCCACGTAACGCTGCACGTCCGTCACCATATCTGGCCAGTAATAAAACCGCTGCAACGTCTTCAGAGTTTTATCAAACCCCGAAATGTCCTGATAAAATTCGAACTGTGGACTTCTTGAATTAGTAATTCGCAAAGTAGACGATAACTTGGGACCCGAATTCGATCCGTCCCGCTTCGTAGATAATAGACGCATTTCCGTGTAGTTATTTTGGAGATGGCCGTCATTTTACGAAGTAGGGGTCGGTCGAATACCTGTGGGAAAATAGTCCACTCAGTAGCGGGTTGCTCTGGGCAACTAGTACTACTGCGAGTTGGGCAGACAGTCTGGAGAGGGCGTCTGCAATATTCATTGGCGGAAAGAATTGTCCGCATGTTTTGCAATTTTTCAGAATTTTGGCCTTAATTGGAGGCCTTACCCACTATATGCAGGCCAATCTAGGGACACAAAACAATGCTTCACATTTGATGAAAACTACTATCGTTAACAGTAAAAAGCAGACATAACCAATCACCGTGCATCCGGACAATTAGTTCCAGGCGGAGGCAGCAACTTGATCAACCCTTAAACTAGTACCTGGTCCACCGCCTTTCGCCTTAATCACGGCATTCACCCTCCTGGGCATGCTGTCGATCAAATTGGTGCTCGCCTCTGATGGGATCTTCTCCCATTCCTCTTGTACACTCTCCCACAGGTCCACCATACCAGTGGGAGGTTTCTCATACTTAGCCAGCTCCCTTTTAAGATGAGCCCAAAAGATGCTCAATGGGGTTCGACTTCCTGCCGGCCACTCCAGACCCCAAACTCTTGCTCCTGAAGCCACTGCTGCACCACACGAGACTTATGCTTGGGGTCGTTATCATGCTGGAAGATCACATCCGAGGGGTTTAACGTGTAAAAAGTCGATGGTATTCTTCAGCTCGTCCTGCAAAATGCTCAGATACAGCAGCCCGTCCATCCTACCATCAATTTTGCACATGAAACCCGGCCCCTCATACGTCATACAGCCCCAGATCATCAAGCCGCCGCCCCGTGTTTGACGGTTTGCTTGATCTGGTGGTGTTGGAGGGTCGTACCTTCACGAACCCAGGCGTACGCGCGGCCGTCAGAGCAGAACCTACTGATCCTCATCTCATCTGACCAGATCACCCGTTTCCAATCCTCTATGGTCCAATCAGCGTGGGCCTGTGCGAACTCCAGCCTATCGCGGATATTTTTCTTCGAGAGTCGCGGCTTCTTAGGCTGCTGGACTGCGACAAGGCCGCTGGATTTGAGCGCATTATGCACCGTCCTAGGATGCACCGTAATGCCGTGCTGGGATTCGACGATCTGGGCTGCAATGCCTCGAGGTTTTCGCCTCGCCGCTAGTAATCGCCCTGACGATCCCACGACGAATTCTATTCGTGACTATGCGTGGACGACCAGCAGTGGGCATTGAAGGACGCACATCCTTGCGACTAGACTCTGAAATCGCCTTGAGTCCAAGATCATGTACTGTGCTTTCCCACGCCAAGCTCCTTCGCGATTCGCCTCGTGCTATACCCCCTACGCAACAGAGTTATGATCCGTGCGCGACGCGCCTCATCTATCGGTCTCATCTCGGCCTAGTCGAAGCCTCGGGTATAAACTCTTTCCTGACTAATCGAAAGTCACGGGAGAAACTATGGAGAGAATGCCGTACTCGAAAACAGATCTAGTCCGCTGCTTGGCCGAAACTGTCCGGATGCACTCACGCGACTCAAATCTTGTCCACGCTATAAGTGCGACCCCTTCAAATTGCAAAGGAGTTACCCCAATGCAACTTTGCACTCGTTACTTACAACACAGCTTTGAAGATTCAGAGATACCTCGGTTAAAAGCATTCAAATCATTATTTGAACCTAAAAGTGGATTTTATCCGGGCAATACTTTCCGCCAGTGTTGTTGGCGCCCTTTTTGTACGTGATCTTGTACGTGAAGTTGGACTCCAGATATTCCAGCCAGCGTATCTGTCGCGGGTTGAGATTCGGCTGCGCTCTCAGCTAATGTAGGGATTTATGGTCGGTTCACACCGTCACGTCTGCTCCAGTCAGATAGCACCTCCATATTTTGAACGCATGGACAATCGTCAGCATCTCCTTATCGTGTAACGGGTAGTTGCGCTCAGCAGATTGTATTTTTCGAGACTCGTACGCGATTGGTTGAAGACCATTGCCGAAATCTAGCATGAGCACGGCTCCGATGGCGATGTCACTTGCGTCGATGATGACTTCGAAGGGTCGTTCCGGGTTAGCGATGCGAAGTACTGGTGGCAACAATAAAAGAGTTTTTAATGTTAAAGTGAACGAATAACAAGAACAATGACATACAAAGGAATATAACCTAGTGGGTTGTACTCCCTAAGGCATAACCCTGTACAGTCTATAACAACATACAAAGATATGTTTGACACACCCCCTAGACTGGATAGGGGCAGTGCCTGGTGAGAGAAAAGCAGCTCAGGGTGGCACTACTAGTCCAGCCTCTGAGGCAAGGGTCTAAAGACCAGTCAAACGAGTACAGACAAGGCAAGAGCAAGACCAAGGCGGCACTACTAGTCCAGCCACTGGGAAGAGGCCACAAGGCCAGTCAGGGTAATACATATAAAGGTCTGTACACAATCAAGATCCTAGCAAGTGAGAGGCTACAGGAATGAGACTTAGCTGTACACAGTGCCGCTGATGATCTTTAGGCACAAGCACCTTAGTAAAGATATCAGCCGTGTTGGCACCGGAGGCCAAGTGTTCTACGTGGGCCTGGCGACGCTGCTATAGCTCGCGCACGAGGAAGTACCGCAGCTGGATGTGCTTCGTTGTGCCTCAAGTCGTGGCTCCTGACACGGGAGGATCATGGACTGTTGTCAGAGTACAGAACCAGGGCAGAGCTAGGCCGCTGACCCAGGTCGGTGAGCAAGAAGGCCAGCCAGCGGAGCTCCAGTGCCGCCATGGCACCAGCGTAGATCTCAGCCTCACTGCTAGGTTAACGTTTCCTTGAGTTAAAACCATATTTTCAGGTTGCTCGATAGAATTTTCGTCGTCGTCGTCGTCGAAATCTGATTCTGTTGCATGAATTTTGTAACGCGCTGAAGACTTGTTTCCCTGATGTGGCAGGAGTTGTTGCGGTGGATTCTGCTTCATGGGTTGCTTGAATACTGCGACGGCTGCTGTCCTCCTCTTTTTCTATCACCTTGAAGCTTGTTGCAAATTTTACACTGTGTCCATCCTTTTTGCAGTAGTGGCAGAAGTATTTGTTGACGCGTTTCATAGGCGTTGTATAAAAACTGATGTTGACTGCTCCTTTCTTGTTACGTGCTGTTTGCAGGTCAGATCATGCTGCTCTGCTTGAAGAATGGAGCATATTTGTGCTTCCGAAAGATTTGGTTGAAGGCGAAGAAGGGATTCACATTGTCGCCATTCTGGTCCAAGACTGGCAAGAAGGAGTGTTACAAACATGTCCTTTGGGAAGTATCCGCCGCACTTTTTGAATTGGTCACGAAGTGTTCGAGCCCTGTTGACATAATCCGAAACGTTCTCGTTGCCCTGCATCTGTACAGTTGTCAGTTGTGAGAGAGTTTTACTCACGGAAATTGTATCCTGTGCCATATACAGCCCCTTCAAATGTGTCCACGCAGATTCTGCTGGAGTCAGACTGGTGTGAAGAGAGCGGAATACCGAGCTGCTCCTTCAGCGACGATTGTTGATAAGGACGGTGTAAGTGCAAAGTGAAGTATGAAGAAGCTCTGTTGTTCCATCTGTGTTCCCGTAACAGGATAAAGTAATCGCCACTGAAGAACGGCCACAATCCAACGGATTTCGTGAGAAGTTCGAATTCGAAGTCCAGGCGTAGAAGTCAACGCCATTAAAAGGTACAGTTGTCTTTATCTGTGTGTTTGCTTAAAAGATTCGGTGCTTGAAAGACTGGACCAGTGAGAGTAGTCTGCTGCTGCTGAAGCAACAGCTGTTCGGTTGCTGTTGTTGCTGTTGTTGCTGAAATTGTTGTTGCGCTTGCTGCTGTTGTTGAGGAAAATGAAATTGTTGTTGTTGAGCATGTGGTAAACGCAAACAAGAACTGGAGCTTGGAGCGGCTGCAGCTCTTGCATAACTTGAACCGTCGATACTCATTCCACTAAAGGCCGGCTGATATTGATTGCTACTGCTTGTTGCTGTTGTGATGCAGGTGTAGGGCGAGTCCCCAGTGGATGCACAGAAGGCAAACCTTGCTGCTGTTGCGGATTCCCAATTGAAGAATAAGTAGGTGGAAAAATTCCAACTGCAGGATTTCCTGTTTGACCAGTGTTGATTGTAGGATTTGTAACACCCGTAGGTCCAGTTGTTGAAGAGCCAGATGATGGAACCGTCGATGGTCCTGTCATGATTGTCGATAGTCGAATTGACAAAAGTCTTAATTCCAGACAGCTCTCATACCATGAAAGAATTTGAAAAGTGGTGCAGGAGACTAAGTATAGAATCTGCAGACACAAGTACTTGAAGTAGAAAGTAATACCGTATTCTCCCGGAATTAAGCTCCCATGGGTGGCTTGAGCGGGTATGGGTGTTTAATTAAACTGGATCTAGTTACCACCCTACTTTTGGGCTTGAAAACAATTGAACACCCCACTTAGAATCCTTATTTTGACAGGGAACGACAGAATTTGCCGTGCATAGTTGCGTGCGTAAATGTGAGGGCGAGTGGGGGAAACGAGCTGGTGGTCAACCCGAATGTGTCGGAACGGAAAAAAAAAAATGTCGAAACCTCAAAATCCAAATTGTTCATTCTCGACTCTCATGCCTTCCCGCCAAAACAAACCTATGCTGCTGCCCACTGATTGGAGGCAGTAAGGACGAGGCCTGCAGCACTCGTTGATTGGCTGATTTCCCAGCCTCGTCCTTGACTTGACTAGTTTAGCTGACGATGTGCAAGCAGCCACACTGTAGGGTACGCGATGAGGACACGAGATGTTGACATGTTACACAAAACAATGTGGTGTAACATGAACAACCATTTTGGAATTGAAAAACGCATATGCACGTTCCATAGAACCACTATTTTGCTGAAATGGTAGACTAGTAAGACAGCGGAAGTCTTAGAACTTGTAAAGTGTTGACCAGAATTTACTGAAGAACAAGTTGATAATTAAAATTGTATAAGCTACTTTTATATCTGCTAGAAGTACCTATTTGGTGACGTACCTGTTCGAGCTATTTGTGTTAAAAGGCTAGCTTAGCTAGGAAGCTAGGAAAGGCATGAGGTTTAGCAAGGAGGAGCCATGGAGTGGCATGAGGTTTAGGAAGGAGAAAATTTGAGGAGAGAAAAAGGGATTGGAATAGAAAGAGAGAGGCATACAAGGAGGGATTGTACCCTCTACAGTAAAGTTTGGTAACCTACCAAGCCTAACAATTATATAACTCAATATATAATTTTAACACACCCCCTAGGCTTGGTAGTCACAAGCCCACACACACCCCACACCCCTAACCTAGCACCCCATTCCCATCAGCCACAACTACTCCAACAGGGCCCACAAGGCCTTGGAGATGGCGGCGGCGGCAGTCCCGGCCGCGGCGACAGTGACGGCGACGACGGGCGGCGGCGAAAGGCCTGCGGCGACGAGAGCGGCGGCGGCGACGGCTTCTGCTCACGTACGATTTTACCACAACACTTCTAGCATATATAAAAGTAGTTTGTACAGTTTCAGTTATTAACTTGTTCTTGTATAAATTCTGGTCAACACTGTCAAACATGTGTATCTCCTGTGTTTGCATAGACTGTATAGGGCCATCTCTTAGAGGGTACAACACTTAGGTATATTCACCTGTACTCTCTCTCTACTCATCATTCAGTTCTCATTCTAACAAACACTTACACGTTCTAAGACTTCCGCTGTCTTACTAGTCTACCATTCCAGCAAAGATCCTTGTTCAAGTCTTGAAGTATCACAAGGCTGTAACACTGACTCTGGTGTTACAACTTGTTAATACTGGCTGTTACTGGAGGTACTACCAATATTACTTTCTACCAATGGCTGTTACTCCCTGGCTGTTACATCAATGAGCTCCCACCTCCCATTCAGGGACAAGCAATGCATGAATGAATGCAGTGAGCATCACTGTATACCTCGCCACACTGCCACTGCTATTGGGGCAACTCCAACCATGGAGCATCGCTGTCCTTCTCACTTTCCTCCACTTGCCCTAGCGCATCTTTGCCTTCCTCCCTCTCTGCCTCAGTACCTCCCACCCCTCCACAGCACTGCTGCCTTACCCTCCACAGGTTGCCCGCCTCCCCCTCCCCACCCCCCTACCTCCATACTCGCGCTGCGCTTTTTCCTCCTTGGCTTGCCGCCACTCGCTGCTCCCTCTGCCCACCTGCCAGCTCTCCCTCTGCCCCCTCCACACGTGCCGCCCCCCGTGCCCTCACCCTCGTCTGCGCCGCTGCTGCCATCCGTGCTGCTGCCACCCACGCCGAGCGACGCCTGCCCTCCGTGCCTTGCTTGCCTTCCCCTTCTCCCGCTCTCTTCCCCACCCTGCTGCCCTCCACTCCTACCCCAGGAGCTCCCCCTTCCAACACACTCCCAGAGCCTATCTCCCTCCAACCCCCCACCGAGCTATTTTATCCCCGGCTGATGCCGCCACAGCAGCAGGAGCAGCAGCACGCACACCTGCAGCCCCTCCACTCGGCCCGTAGCCCTCCTCCTCGCTGCTGCTACCACTGTACCCCCGTCACTGAAGTCACTCTCCGTGCTCTCACCCCCTCGCGCCCTCCCCTGCCACCCTTCCGACCCTGCCGCCTCCCTGTCCCCTGCGCCGTGGGCCGAAGGCGCCCTCAGCCTCCTCGTCCGCAGCCAGCATTGCCTGCAGCTCGCGCTCCTGCTGCTCCCGCGCTGCCACTGCCGAGCCTCCTGCTCCCCTGCTGCCTGCGCCTGCTCTGCCTTTGTGCCTTCCTTGGCGCCCCGCTGTGCGAAAGCGGAGAGGTCGGCGGAGAGGTTGGAGGGGGAGGCGGCGCGGCGCGGCGGCACGGGCGGCTGAAAGGAGTCGACGGCGGTGACGATGACCTCCGGGCGCGGCTGCTGTGGCGCTGCACAGCCTTGCGGGAGACCTGCGCTATGGTGCGCTCCACCAGCGACAGCGACGCGTCCCTGTGGGGGGGGGGGGGGGGGAAGGGGAGACCATGGGGGGGTGGAGGAGATGGGGATAAGGGGGAGGAGAGGCGAGAGGGAGGAAAGAAGCAAAGGTGCTGATGAGCAGGCATGAGGGTGGTGATTAGTGGGAGTGAGAGGCAGGGCGGAGCGGCACCTGTTGAGTTTCTTGAGTGCGCCCATGCCAGCGGCGTGCATCATCTCAGTGAGCTTGCCGCGGCTACCACCAAGGCAGCGCCGTGCGGATCTGCAGGCGGCCGTGCAGCCCCCTGCGGCGCCCTGGGAGTCGTCGTTCCTCGTCGGCGTCCGTGAACACCTCCAGCAGGTCCTCGCCGGGCGGGCTCGCGAAACACCTCCACGCTGCACGCAGGGCACGCGGTGGAGGCGGGGAGCGCGAGAGGGGAGGAGGAGAGGCTGGGATGAGGAGGTGGGTGGTGCAGCGTGGTGAGGTGTTGCTCGCTCCAAGAGGCGCAACTTGATCACTTGCTCCCTCTCGGTCCCGCACTATGTGTACGGTGCAATGGGCACTACCATACATACGTGCGGCAATTTTTATCTGCCTGTTACGCCGCAATGACTATCCCCATGCCTTCGTTGGCGACGACTATCCCCATGCTTACGTGCGATGGACAATCCCCTCTGTTGCCACGTGCAGTCTCTCCCAACAGCCATCTCCCGCGGCATTGCCAAACGCGATGCCGCCGTCGTTTACATGTGTTGATGCACGCATGTGAATGGGCGCATGTGATGGGCGCACAACGCATGTGCATGGGCACACAACGCATGTGCATGGGCGCACAACGCATGTGCATGGGCACACAACGCATGTGCATGGGCACACAACGCATGTGCATGGGCACACAACGCATGTGAATGGGCGCACAACGCATGTGCATGGGCACACAACGCATGTGCATGAGCACACAACGCATGTGCATGGGCGCACAACGCATGTGCATGGGCACACAACGCATGTGCATGGGCACACAACGCATGTGCATGGGCACACAACGCATGTGCATGGGCACACAACGCATGTGAATGGGCGCACAACGCATGTGCATGGGCACACAACGCATGTGAATGGGCACACAACGCATGTGCATGAGCACACAACGCATGTGCATGGGCGCACAACGCATGTGCATGGGCACACAACGCATGTGCATGGGCACACAACGCATGTGCATGGGCACACAACGCATGTGCATGGGCACACAACGCATGTGCATGGGCACACAACGCATGTGCATGGGCACACAACGCATGTGAATGGGCGCACAACGCATGTGCATGGGCACACAACGCATGTGCATGGGCACACAACGCATGTGAATGGCGCACAACGCATGTGCATGGGCACACAACGCATGTGCATGAGCACACAACGCATGTGCATGGGCGCACAACGCATGTGCATGGGCACACAACGCATGTGCATGGGCACACAACGCATGTGCATGGGCACACAACGCATGTGCATGGGCACACAACGCATGTGAATGGGCGCACAACGCATGTGCATGGGCACACAACGCATGTGAATGGGCGCACAACGCATGTGCATGAGCACACAACGCATGTGCATGGGCGCACAACGCATGTGCATGGGCACACAACGCATGTGCATGGGCACACAACGCATGTGCATGGGCACACAACGCATGTGCATGGGCACACAACGCATGTGCATGGGCACACAACGCATGTGAATGGGCGCACAACGCATGTGCATGGGCACACAACGCATGTGAATGGGCGCACAACGCAGGTGCATGAGCACACAACGCATGTGCATGGGCGCACAACGCATGTGCATGGGCACACAACGCATGTGCATGGGCACACAACGCATGTGCATGGGCACACAACGCATGTGCATGGGCACACAACGCATGTGCATGGGCACACAACGCATGTGCATGGGCACACAATGCATGTGCATGGGCACACAACGCATGTGCATGGGCACACAACGCATGTGCATGGGCACACAACGCATGTGCATGGGCGCACAACGCATGTGCATGGGCACACAACGCATGTGCATGGCACACAACACATGTGCATGGGCACAACGCATGTGCATGGCACACAACGCATGTGCATGGGCACACAACCATGTGCATGGGCACACAACGCATGTGCATGGGCACACAACGCATGTGAATGGGCGCACAACGCATGTGCATGGGCACACAACGCATGTGATGGCGCACAACGCATGTGCATGGCACACAACGCATGTGCATGGGCGCACAACGCATGTGCATGGGCGCACACGCATGTGCATGGGCACACAACGCATGTGCATGGGCACACAACGCATGTGCATGGGCACACAACGCATGTGCATGGGCACACAACGCATGTGAATGGGCGCACAACGCATGTGCATGGGCACACAACGCATGTGAATGGGCGCACAACGCATGTGCATGGGCACACAACGCATGTGCATGGGCGCACAACGCATGTGCATGGGCACACAACGCATGTGCATGGGCACACAACGCATGTGCATGGGCACACAACGCATGTGCATGGGCACACAACGCATGTGCATGGGCACACAACGCATGTGCATGAGCACACAACGCATGTGCATGGGCACACAACGCATGTGAATGGGCACACAACGCATGTGCATGAGCACACAACGCATGTGCATGGGCGCACAACGCATGTGCATGGGCACACAACGCATGTGCATGGGCACACAACGCATGTGCATGGGCACACAACGCATGTGCATGGGCACACAACGCATGTGCATGGGCACACAACGCATGTGCATGGGCACACAACGCATGTGCATGGGCACACAACGCATGTGCATGGGCACACAACGCATGTGCATGGCACACAACGCATGTGCATGGGCACACAACGCATGTGCATGGGCACACAACGCATGTGCATGGGCACACAACGCATGTGCATGGGCACACAACGCATGTGCATGGGCACACAACGCATGTGCATGGGCACACAACGCATGTGCATGGGCACACAACGCATGTGCATGGGCACACAACGCATGTGCATGGGCACACAACGCATGTGCATGGGCACACAACGCATGTGCATGGGCACAACGCATGTGCATGGCACACAACGCATGTGCATGGGCACACAACGCATGTGCATGGGCACACAACGCATGTGCATGGGCACACAACGCATGTGCATGGGCACACAACGCATGTGCATGGGCACACAACGCATGTGCATGGGCACACAACGCATGTGCATGGGCACACAACGCATGTGCATGGGCACACAACGCATGTGCATGGGCACACAACGCATGTGCATGGGCACACAACGCATGTGCATGGGCACACAACGCATGTGCATGGGCACACAACGCATGTGCATGGGCACACAACGCATGTGCATGGGCACACAACGCATGTGCATGGGCACACAACGCATGTGCATGGGCGCACAACGCATGTGCATGGGCACACAACGCATGTGCATGGGCGCACAACGCATGTGCATGGGCACACAACGCATGTGCATGGGCGCACAACGCATGTGCATGGGCACACAACGCATGTGCATGGGCACACAACGCATGTGCATGGGCACACAACGCATGTGCATGGGCACACAACGCATGTGCATGGGCACACAACGCATGTGCATGGGCACACAACGCATGTGCATGGGCACACAACGCATGTGCATGGGCACACAACGCATGTGCATGGGCACACAACGCATGTGCATGGGCACACAACGCATGTGCATGGGCACACAAGCATGTGCATGGGCACACAACGCATGTGCATGGGCACACAACGCATGTGCATGGGCACACAACGCATGTGCATGGGCACAACGCATGTGCATGGGCACACAACGCATGTGCATGAGCACACAACGCATGTGCATGGGCACAACGCATGTGCATGGGCACACAACGCATGTGCATGGGCACACAACGCATGTGCATGGGCACACAACGCATGTGCATGGGCACAACGCATGTGCATGGGCACACAACGCATGTGATGGGCACACAACGCATGTGCATGGGCACACAACGCATGTGCATGGGCGCACAACGCATGTGCATGGGCACACAACGCATGTGCATGGGCACACAACGCATGTGCATGGGCACACAACGCATGTGCATGGGCACACAACGCATGTGCATGGGCGCACAACGCATGTGCATGGGCACACAACGCATGTGCATGGGCACACAACGCATGTGCATGGGCACACAACGCATGTGCATGGGCACACAACGCATGTGCATGGGCACACAACGCATGTGCATGGGCACACAACGCATGTGCATGGGCACACAACGCATGTGCATGAGCACACAACGCATGTGCATGGGCACAAACGCATGTGCATGGGCACACAACGCATGTGCATGGGCACACAACGCATGTGCATGGGCACACAACGCATGTGCATGGGCACACAACGCATGTGCATGGGCACACAACGCATGTGCATGGGCACACAACGCATGTGCATGGGCACACAACGCATGTGCATGGGCACACAACGCATGTGCATGGGCACACAACGCATGTGCATGGGCACACAACGCATGTGCATGGGCACACAACGCATGTGCATGGGCACACAACGCATGTGCATGGGCACACAACGCATGTGCATGGGCACACAACGCATGTGCATGGGCACACAACGCATGTGCATGGCACACAACGCATGTGCATGGGCACAACGCATGTGCATGGCACACAACGCATGTGCATGGGCGCACAACGCATGTGCATGGGCACACAACGCATGTGCATGGGCACACAACGCATGTGCATGGGCACACAACGCATGTGCATGGGCACACAACGCATGTGCATGGGCACACAACGCATGTGCATGGGCACACAACGCATGTGCATGGGCACACAACGCATGTGCATGGGCACACAACGCATGTGCATGGGCACACAACGCATGTGCATGGGCACACAACGCATGTGCATGGGCACACAACGCATGTGCATGGGCACACAACGCATGTGCATGGGCACACAACGCATGTGCATGGGCACACAACGCATGTGCATGGCACACAACGCATGTGCATGGGCACACAACGCATGTGCATGGGCACACAACGCATGTGCATGGGCACACAACGCATGTGCATGGGCACACAACGCATGTGCATGGGCACACAACGCATGTGCATGGGCACACAACGCATGTGCATGGGCACACAACGCATGTGCATGGGCACACAACGCATGTGCATGGCACACAACGCATGTGCATGGGCACACAACGCATGTGCATGGGCACACAACGCATGTGCATGGGCACAACGCATGTGCATGGGCACACAACGCATGTGCATGGGCACACAACGCATGTGCATGGGCACACAACGCATGTGCATGGGCACACAACGCATGTGCATGGGCACACAACGCATGTGCATGGGCACACAACGCATGTGCATGGCACACAACGCATGTGCATGGGCACACAACGCATGTGCATGGGCACACAACGCATGTGCATGGGCACACAACGCATGTGCATGGGCACACAACGCATGTGCATGGGCACACAACGCATGTGCATGGGCACACAACGCATGTGCATGGGCACACAACGCATGTGCATGGCGCACAACGCATGTGCATGGGCACACAACGCATGTGCATGGGCACACAACGCATGTGCATGGGCACACAACGCATGTGCATGGGCACACAACGCATGTGCATGGGCACACAACGCATGTGCATGGGCACACAACGCATGTGCATGGGCACACAACGCATGTGCATGGGCACACAACGCATGTGCATGGGCACACAACGCATGTGCATGGGCACACAACGCATGTGCATGGGCACACAACGCATGTGCATGGGCACACAACGCATGTGCATGGGCACACAACGCATGTGCATGGGCACACAACGCATGTGCATGGGCACACAACGCATGTGCATGGGCACAACGCATGTGCATGGGCACACAACGCATGTGATGGGCGCACAACGCATGTGCATGGCACACAACGCATGTGCATGGGCGCACAACGCATGTGCATGGGCACACAACGCATGTGCATGGGCACACAACGCATGTGCATGGGCCACAACGCATGTGCATGGGCACACAACGCATGTGCATGGGCACACAACGCATGTGCATGGGCACACAACGCATGTGCATGGGCACACAACGCATGTGCATGGGCACACAACGCATGTGCATGGGCACACAACGCATGTGCATGGGCACACAACGCATGTGCATGGGCACACAACGCATGTGCATGGGCACACAACGCATGTGCATGGGCACACAACGCATGTGCATGGGCACACAACGCATGTGCATGGGCACACAACGCATGTGCATGGGCACACAACGCATGTGCATGGGCACACAACGCATGTGCATGGGCACACAACGCATGTGCATGGGCACACAACGCATGTGCATGGGCACACAACGCATGTGCATGGGCACACAACGCATGTGCATGGGCACACAACGCATGTGCATGGGCACACAACGCATGTGCATGGGCACACAACGCATGTGCATGGGCACACAACGCATGTGCATGGGCACACAACGCATGTGCATGGGCACACAACGCATGTGCATGGGCACACAACGCATGTGCATGGGCACACAACGCATGTGCATGGGCACAACGCATGTGCATGGGCGCACAACGCATGTGCATGGGCACACAACGCATGTGATGGGCACACAACGCATGTGCATGAGCACACAACGCATGTGCATGGGCACAACGCATGTGCATGGGCACACAACGCATGTGCATGGGCACACAACGCATGTGCATGGGCACACAACGCATGTGCATGGGCACACAACGCATGTGCATGGGCACACAACGCATGTGCATGGGCACACAACGCATGTGCATGGGCACACAACGCATGTGCATGGGCACACAACGCATGTGCATGGGCACACAACGCATGTGCATGGGCACACAACGCATGTGCATGGGCACACAACGCATGTGCATGGGCACACAACGCATGTGCATGGGCACACAACGCATGTGCATGGGCGCACAACGCATGTGCATGGCACACAACGCATGTGCATGGGCGCACAACGCATGTGCATGGGCACACAACGCATGTGCATGGGCACACAACGCATGTGCATGGGCACACAACGCATGTGCATGGGCACACAAACGCATGTGCATGGGCACACAACGCATGTGCATGGGCACACAACGCATGTGCATGGGCACACAACGCATGTGCATGGGCACACAACGCATGTGCATGGGCACACAACGCATGTGCATGGGCACACAACGCATGTGCATGGGCACACAACGCATGTGCATGGGCACACAACGCATGTGCATGGGCACACAACGCATGTGCATGGGCACACAACGCATGTGCATGGGCACACAACGCATGTGCATGGGCACACAACGCATGTGCATGGGCACACAACGCATGTGCATGGGCACACAACGCATGTGCATGGGCACACAACGCATGTGCATGGGCACACAACGCATGTGCATGGGCACACAACGCATGTGCATGGGCACACAACGCATGTGCATGGGCACACAACGCATGTGCATGGGCACACAACGCATGTGCATGGGCACACAACGCATGTGCATGGGCACACAACGCATGTGCATGGGCGCACAACGCATGTGCATGGGCACACAACGCATGTGCATGGCACACAACGCATGTGCATGGCGCACAACGCATGTGCATGGGCGCACAACGCATGTGCATGGGCACACAACGCATGTGCATGGGCGCACAACGCATGTGCATGGGCACACAACGCATGTGCATGGGCACAACAACGCATGTGCATGGGCACACAACGCATGTGCATGGGCACACAACGCATGTGCATGGGCACACAACGCATGTGCATGGGCACACAACGCATGTGCATGGGCGCACAACGCATGTGCATGGGCACACAACGCATGTGCATGGGCACACAACGCATGTGCATGGGCACACAACGCATGTGCATGGGCACACAACGCATGTGCATGGGCACACAACGCATGTGCATGGGCACACAACGCATGTGCATGGGCACACAACGCATGTGCATGGGCGCACAACGCATGTGCATGGGCACACAACGCATGTGCATGGGCACACAACGCATGTGCATGGGCACACAACGCATGTGCATGGGCACACAACGCATGTGCATGGGCACACAACGCATGTGCATGGGCACACAACGCATGTGCATGGGCGCACAACGCATGTGCATGGCACACAACGCATGTGCATGGCGCACAACGCATGTGCATGGGCACACAACGCATGTGCATGGGCACACAACGCATGTGCATGGGCACACAACGCATGTGCATGGGCACACAACGCATGTGCATGGGCACACAACGCATGTGCATGGCACACAACGCATGTGCATGGGCACACAACGCATGTGCATGGGCACACAACGCATGTGCATGGGCACACAACGCATGTGCATGGGCACACAACGCATGTGCATGGGCACACAACGCATGTGCATGGGCACACAACGCATGTGCATGGGCACACAACGCATGTGCATGGGCACACAACGCATGTGCATGGGCACACAACGCATGTGCATGGGCACACAACGCATGTGCATGGGCACACAACGCATGTGCATGGGCACACAACGCATGTGCATGGGCACACAACGCATGTGCATGGGCACACAACGCATGTGCATGGGCACACAACGCATGTGCATGGGCACACAACGCATGTGCATGGGCACACAACGCATGTGCATGGGCCACAACGCATGTGCATGGCACACAACGCATGTGCATGGGCGCACAACGCATGTGCATGGGCACACAACGCATGTGCATGGGCACACAACGCATGTGCATGGGCACACAACGCATGTGCATGGGCACACAACGCATGTGCATGGGCACACAACGCATGTGCATGGGCACACAACGCATGTGCATGGGCACACAACGCATGTGCATGGGCACACAACGCATGTGCATGGGCACACAACGCATGTGCATGGGCACACAACGCATGTGCATGGGCACACAACGCATGTGCATGGGCACACAACGCATGTGCATGGGCACACAACGCATGTGCATGGGCACACAACGCATGTGCATGGGCACACAACGCATGTGCATGGGCACACAACGCATGTGCATGGGCACACAACGCATGTGCATGGGCACACAACGCATGTGCATGGGCGCACAACGCATGTGCATGGGCACACAACGCATGTGCATGGGCACACAACGCATGTGCATGGGCACACAACGCATGTGCATGGGCACACAACGCATGTGCATGGGCACACAACGCATGTGCATGGGCACACAACGCATGTGCATGGGCACACAACGCATGTGCATGGGCACACAACGCATGTGCATGGGCACACAACGCATGTGCATGGGCACACAACGCATGTGCATGGGCACACAACGCATGTGCATGGGCACACAACGCATGTGCATGGGCACACAACGCATGTGCATGGCACACAACGCATGTGCATGGGCACACAACGCATGTGCATGGGCACACAACGCATGTGCATGGGCACACAACGCATGTGCATGGGCACACAACGCATGTGCATGGGCAACAAACGCATGTGCATGGGCACACAACGCATGTGCATGGGCACACAACGCATGTGCATGGGCACACAACGCATGTGCATGGGCACAACGCATGTGCATGGCACACAACGCATGTGCATGGGCGCACAACGCATGTGCATGGGCACACAACGCATGTGCATGGGCCACAACGCATGTGCATGGGCACACAACGCATGTGCATGGGCACACAACGCATGTGCATGGGCACACAACGCATGTGCATGGGCACACAACGCATGTGCATGGGCACACAACGCATGTGCATGGGCACACAACGCATGTGCATGGGCACACAACGCATGTGCATGGGCACACAACGCATGTGCATGGGCACACAACGCATGTGCATGGGCACACAACGCATGTGCATGGGCACACAACGCATGTGCATGGGCACACAACGCATGTGCATGGGCACACAACGCATGTGCATGGGCACACAACGCATGTGCATGGGCACACAACGCATGTGCATGGGCACACAACGCATGTGCATGGCACACAACGCATGTGCATGGGCACACAACGCATGTGCATGGGCACACAACGCATGTGCATGGGCACACAACGCATGTGCATGGGCACACAACGCATGTGCATGGGCACAACGCATGTGCATGGGCACACAACGCATGTGCATGGGCACACAACGCATGTGCATGGGCACACAACGCATGTGCATGGGCACACAACGCATGTGCATGGGCACACAACGCATGTGCATGGGCACACAACGCATGTGCATGGGCACACAACGCATGTGCATGGGCACACAACGCATGTGATGGGCGCACAACGCATGTGCATGGGCACACACGCATGTGCATGGGCACAAACGCATGTGCATGGGCACACAACGCATGTGCATGGGCGCACAACGCATGTGCATGGGCACACAACGCATGTGCATGGGCACACAACGCATGTGCATGGGCACACAACGCATGTGCATGGCACACAACGCATGTGCATGGGCACACAACGCATGTGCATGGGCACACAACGCATGTGCATGGGCACACAACGCATGTGCATGGGCACACAACGCATGTGCATGGGCACACAACGCATGTGCATGGGCACACAACGCATGTGCATGGGCACACAACGCATGTGCATGGGCACACAACGCATGTGCATGGGCACACAACGCATGTGCATGGGCAACAACGCATGTGCATGGGCACACAACGCATGTGCATGGGCACACAACGCATGTGCATGGGCACACAACGCATGTGCATGGGCACACAACGCATGTGCATGGGCACACAACGCATGTGCATGGGCACACAACGCATGTGCATGGCACACAACGCATGTGCATGGGCACACAACGCATGTGCATGGGCACACAACGCATGTGCATGGGCACACAACGCATGTGCATGGGCACACAACGCATGTGCATGGGCACACAACGCATGTGCATGGCGCACACAACGCATGTGCATGGGCACACAACGCATGTGAATGGGCGCACAACGCATGTGCATGGCACACAACGCATGTGCATGGCGCACAACGCATGTGCATGGGCACACAACGCATGTGCATGGGCACACAACGCATGTGCATGGGCACACAACGCATGTGCATGGGCACACAACGCATGTGCATGGGCACACAACGCATGTGCATGGGCACACAACGCATGTGCATGGGCACACAACGCATGTGCATGGGCACACAACGCATGTGCATGGGCACACAACGCATGTGCATGGGCACACAACGCATGTGCATGGGCACACAACGCATGTGCATGGGCACACAACGCATGTGCATGGGCACACAACGCATGTGCATGGGCACACAACGCATGTGCATGGGGACACAACGCATGTGCATGGGCGCACAACGCATGTGCATGGGCGCACAACGCATGTGCATGGCACACAACGCATGTGCATGGGCGCACAACGCATGTGCATGGCGCACAACGCATGTGCATGGGCACACAACGCATGTGCATGGGCACACAACGCATGTGCATGGGCACACAACGCATGTGCATGGGCACACAACGCATGTGCATGGGCACACAACGCATGTGCATGGGCACACAACGCATGTGCATGGGCACACAACGCATGTGCATGGGCACACAACGCATGTGCATGGGCACACAACGCATGTGCATGGGCACACAACGCATGTGCATGGGCACACAACGCATGTGCATGGGCACACAACGCATGTGCATGGGCACACAACGCATGTGCATGGGCACACAACGCATGTGCATGGGCACACAACGCATGTGCATGGGCACACAACGCATGTGCATGGGCACACAACGCATGTGCATGGGCACACAACGCATGTGCATGGGCACACAACGCATGTGCATGGGCACACAACGCATGTGCATGGCACACAACGCATGTGCATGGGCGCACAACGCATGTGCATGGCACACAACGCATGTGCATGGGCACACAACGCATGTGCATGGGCACACAACGCATGTGCATGGGCGCACAACGCATGTGCATGGGCACACAACGCATGTGCATGGGCACACAACGCATGTGCATGGGCACACAACGCATGTGCATGGGCACACAACGCATGTGCATGGGCACACAACGCATGTGCATGGGCACACAACGCATGTGCATGGGCACACAACGCATGTGCATGGGCACACAACGCATGTGCATGGGCACACAACGCATGTGCATGGGCACACAACGCATGTGCATGGGCACACAACGCATGTGCATGGGCACACAACGCATGTGCATGGGCACACAACGCATGTGCATGGGCACACAACGCATGTGCATGGGCGCACAACGCATGTGCATGGGCACACAACGCATGTGCATGAGCACACAACGCATGTGCATGGGCGCACAACGCATGTGCATGGGCACACAACGCATGTGCATGGGCACACAACGCATGTGCATGGGCACACAACGCATGTGCATGGGCACACAACGCATGTGCATGGGCACACAACGCATGTGCATGGGCCACAACGCATGTGCATGGCACACAACGCATGTGCATGGGCGCACAACGCATGTGCATGGGCACACAACGCATGTGCATGGGCACACAACGCATGTGCATGGGCACACAACGCATGTGCATGGGCACACAACGCATGTGCATGGGCGCACAACGCATGTGCATGGGCACACAACGCATGTGAATGGGCGCACAACGCATGTGCATGAGCACACAACGCATGTGCATGGGCGCACAACGCATGTGCATGGGCACACAACGCATGTGCATGGGCACACAACGCATGTGCATGGGCACACAACGCATGTGCATGGCACACAACGCATGTGCATGGGCGCACAACGCATGTGCATGGGCACACAACGCATGTGCATGGGCACACAACGCATGTGCATGGGCACACAACGCATGTGCATGGGCACACAACGCATGTGCATGGGCACACAACGCATGTGCATGGGCACACAACGCATGTGCATGGGCACACAACGCATGTGCATGGCACACAACGCATGTGCATGGGCACACAACGCATGTGCATGGGCACACAACGCATGTGCATGGGCACACAACGCATGTGCATGGGCACACAACGCATGTGCATGGGCACACAACGCATGTGCATGGGCACACAACGCATGTGCATGGGCACACAACGCATGTGCATGGGCACACAACGCATGTGCATGGGCACACAACGCATGTGCATGGGCACACAACGCATGTGCATGGGCACACAACGCATGTGCATGGGCACACAACGCATGTGCATGGGCACACAACGCATGTGCATGGGCACACAACGCATGTGCATGGGCACACAACGCATGTGCATGGGCACACAACGCATGTGCATGGGCGCACAACGCATGTGCATGGGCACACAACGCATGTGCATGGGCGCACAACGCATGTGCATGGGCACACAACGCATGTGCATGGGCGCACAACGCATGTGCATGGGCACACAACGCATGTGCATGGGCACACAACGCATGTGCATGGGCACACAACGCATGTGCATGGGCACACAACGCATGTGCATGGGCACACAACGCATGTGCATGGGCACACAACGCATGTGCATGGGCACACAACGCATGTGCATGGGCACACAACGCATGTGCATGGGCACACAACGCATGTGCATGGGCACACAACGCATGTGCATGGGCACACAACGCATGTGCATGGGCGCACAACGCATGTGCATGGGCACACAACGCATGTGCATGGGCGCACAACGCATGTGCATGGCACACAACGCATGTGCATGGCGCACAACGCATGTGCATGGGCACACAACGCATGTGCATGGGCACACAACGCATGTGCATGGGCACACAACGCATGTGCATGGGCACACAACGCATGTGCATGGGCACACAACGCATGTGCATGGGCACACAACGCATGTGCATGGGCACACAACGCATGTGCATGGGCACACAACGCATGTGCATGGGCACACAACGCATGTGCATGGGCACACAACGCATGTGCATGGGCACACAACGCATGTGCATGGGCACACAACGCATGTGCATGGGCACACAACGCATGTGCATGGGCACACAACGCATGTGCATGGGCACACAACGCATGTGCATGGGCACACAACGCATGTGCATGGGCACACAACGCATGTGCATGGGCACACAACGCATGTGCATGGGCACACAACGCATGTGCATGGGCACACAACGCATGTGCATGGGCACACAACGCATGTGCATGGGCACACAACGCATGTGCATGGGCACACAACGCATGTGCATGGGCACACAACGCATGTGCATGGGCACACAACGCATGTGCATGGGCACACAACGCATGTGCATGGGCGCACAACGCATGTGCATGGGCACACAACGCATGTGCATGGGCACACAACGCATGTGCATGGCACACAACGCATGTGCATGGGCGCACAACGCATGTGCATGGGCACACAACGCATGTGCATGGGCACACAACGCATGTGCATGGGCACACAACGCATGTGCATGGGCACACAACGCATGTGCATGGGCACACAACGCATGTGCATGGGCACACAACGCATGTGCATGGGCACACAACGCATGTGCATGGGCACACAACGCATGTGCATGGGCACAACGCATGTGCATGGGCACACAACGCATGTGCATGGGCACACAACGCATGTGCATGGGCACACAACGCATGTGCATGGGCGCACAACGCATGTGCATGGGCACACAACGCATGTGAATGGGCTCACAACGCATGTGCATGAGCACACAACGCATGTGCATGGGCGCACAACGCATGTGCATGGGCACACAACGCATGTGCATGGGCACACAACGCATGTGCATGGGCACACAACGCATGTGCATGGGCACACAACGCATGTGCATGGGCGCACAACGCATGTGCATGGGCACACAACGCATGTGAATGGGCGCACAACGCATGTGCATGAGCACACAACGCATGTGCATGGGCGCACAACGCATGTGCATGGGCACACAACGCATGTGCATGGGCACACAACGCATGTGCATGGGCACACAACGCATGTGCATGGGCACACAACGCATGTGCATGGGCACACAACGCATGTGCATGGCACACAACGCATGTGCATGGGCACACAACGCATGTGCATGGGCACACAACGCATGTGCATGGGCACACAACGCATGTGCATGGGCACACAACGCATGTGCATGGGCACACAACGCATGTGCATGGGCACACAACGCATGTGCATGGGCACACAACGCATGTGCATGGGCACACAACGCATGTGCATGGGCACACAACGCATGTGCATGGGCACACAACGCATGTGCATGGGCACACAACGCATGTGCATGGGCACACAACGCATGTGCATGGGCACACAACGCATGTGCATGGGCACACAACGCATGTGCATGGGCACACAACGCATGTGCATGGGCGCACAACGCATGTGCATGGGCACACAACGCATGTGCATGGCGCACAACGCATGTGCATGCACACAACGCATGTGCATGGGCGCACAACGCATGTGCATGGGCACACAACGCATGTGCATGGGCACACAACGCATGTGCATGGGCACACAACGCATGTGCATGGGCACACAACGCATGTGCATGGGCACACAACGCATGTGCATGGGCACACAACGCATGTGCATGGGCACACAACGCATGTGCATGGGCACACAACGCATGTGCATGGGCACACAACGCATGTGCATGGGCACACAACGCATGTGCATGGGCACACAACGCATGTGCATGGGCACACAACGCATGTGCATGGGCACACAACGCATGTGCATGGGCACACAACGCATGTGCATGGGCACACAACGCATGTGCATGGGCACACAACGCATGTGCATGGGCACAAACGCATGTGCATGGGCACACAACGCATGTGCATGGGCACACAACGCATGTGAATGGGCGCACAACGCATGTGCATGGCACACAACGCATGTGCATGGGCGCACAACGCATGTGCATGGGCACACAACGCATGTGCATGGGCGCACAACGCATGTGCATGGGCACACAACGCATGTGCATGGGCACACAACGCATGTGCATGGGCACACAACGCATGTGCATGGGCACACAACGCATGTGCATGGGCACACAACGCATGTGCATGGGCACACAACGCATGTGCATGGGCACACAACGCATGTGCATGGGCACACAACGCATGTGCATGGCACACAACGCATGTGCATGGGCACACAACGCATGTGCATGGGCACACAACGCATGTGCATGGGCACACAACGCATGTGCATGGGGACACAACGCATGTGCATGGGCACACAACGCATGTGCATAGGCACACAACGCATGTGCATGGGCACACAACGCATGAAGTGTGGAGTACGGAGAGTGGAGAAAGAGAGACAAGTAGCAGAGAGTCCCAGGACGCAAGAAGCATTGGTCACGTGCCACCTTGCACCTCATGGTAGCCCGCACCTCATGGCAGCCGGCACCTCATGGCAGCCGGCATCTGTGCCAGGGAACTGAGGATGATGATGCATTAGATTCCAAATGAACAGGCCACCGTCGATGCACAACGACTGGGAAGCGGTACCCTCCCAAAGGTACCCATTTGAATCAGGGCTCCCATGCTGGCATGCCATGTCAGCACCATTTGCTCTCGCTGCTGCACATACGGAGGGTGCGCTGCACTCACCTCGAGGTGCACGCGCGGCTGGTGGTAGAAGCCGTTGGACACCACCTTGGAGTTGCGCAGCGGTGCCACGCCCACCATCTCGCCGTTGCTGATCACCTGGTGGGAGAGGGGGGGAAGAGAGGGAGGGAGGGGGGAAAGGGGGGTGGGCGCGTGAGAAGCAGACGGTGAGGCGAGGCTGCTGGATCTGAATGAGGGCGCCATGAGCCCAGCTTAGTGCGGCCGCCCTTGCCTCCAATGTGCTGGGCCGTCCAACGCCTACCCCATCAGCTGCATGCTACCCCTTCCCACATGCCACCCTCCCAGCCACATGCCACCATCCCCGAGACATGCCACCATACACATGCCACCATACACATGCCACCATACACATGCCACCATACACATGCCACCATGCACATGCCACCATCCCTTCTCTATAATATGCAACTTGCTTACCCTAGTAGATGTGCATCCGCACTACCTACCATGTACAATATCTAGCACCACAGTGACTCTTCACCCACCCCCTCACCCAGCCCCACGTGGTTGTAACACAGGTCATACGGTGTGGCGGATGCCCTGGCGCTGCGCGAGCAGCTCGTGCTCCTTCAGGAAGGCGTACTCGCCGTGCACCGGCAGGAAGTGCTGCGGCTGCACCAGCCGGATCGCCTCCTGCTGCTCCTCGCGGTACGCGTGGCCCGACGTGTGCAGCCCGTGCTCGCGGCCCTGCAGGATGCGCGGGCCCTGCAGCGCGATGCGGTTCATCATCTTCACCACGCGCGTCTCGTTGCCCGGGATCATCTGGGGGGATGGGGGGGAAGGGGGGGGGGGGAGAGTGCAGGACGGCGGCAAGTGTGATGGCATAAGAGGGAGAGCGCAGGTGATGGCATGAGCGCGCGTTTGTGCAGCCTGAGGGTGGTCGCGATGGTGGCCAGGATGACGCGCAACTAGAGCATGCCCCATGCAGTCATACCAGCACACAATGATACGGGAGGGGGACAAAGGCGATGGCATGCGCATGACCTTGGCGGAGTAGAGCACACCTTGGCGGAGTAGAGCACACCTTGGCGGAGTAGAGCACACCTTGGCGGAGTAGAGCACACCTTGGCGGAGTAGAGCACACCTTGGCGGAGTAGAGCACACCTTGGCGGAGTAGAGCACACCTTGGCGGAGCAGAGCACACCTTGGCGGAGCAGAGCACACCTTGGCGGAGCAGAGCACACCTTGGCGGAGCAGAGCACACCTTGGCGGAGTAGAGCACACCTTGGCGGAGCAGAGCACACCTTGGCGGAGTAGAGCACACCTTGGCGGAGTAGAGCACACCTTGGCGGAGTAGAGCACACCTTGGCGGAGTAGAGCACACCTTGCCGGAGTAGAGCACACCTTGGCGGAGTAGAGCACACCTTGGCGGAGCAGAGCACACCTTGGCGGAGTAGAGCACACCTTGGCGGAGAAGAGCACACCTTGGCGGAGGAGAGCACACCTTGGCGGAGTAGAGCACACCTTGGCGGAGTAGAGCACACCTTGGCGGAGTAGAGCACACCTTGGCGGAGTAGAGCACACCTTGGCGGAGTAGAGCACACCTTGGCGGAGTAGAGCACACCTTGGCGGAGTAGAGCACACCTTGGCGGAGTAGAGCACACCTTGGCGGAGTAGAGCACACCTTGGCGGAGTAGAGCACACCTTGGCGGAGTAGAGCACACCATGGCGGAGTAGAGCACACCTTGGCGGAGTAGAGCACACCTTGGCGGAGTAGAGCACACCTTGGCGGAGTAGAGCACACCTTGGCGGAGTAGAGCACACCTTGGCGGAGAAGAGCACACCTTGGCGGAGGAGAGCACACCTTGGCGGAGTAGAGCACACCTTGGCGGAGTAGAGCACACCTTGGCGGAGTAGAGCACACCTTGGCGGAGTAGAGCACACCTTGGCGGAGTAGAGCACACCTTGGCGGAGTAGAGCACACCTTGGCGGAGTAGAGCACACCTTGGCGGAGTAGAGCACACCTTGGCGGAGCAGAGCACACCTTGGCGGAGCAGAGCACACCTTGGCGGAGCAGAGCACACCTTGGCGGAGCAGAGCACACCTTGGCGGAGTAGAGCACACCTTGGCGGAGTAGAGCACACCTTGGCGGAGCAGAGCACACCTTGGCGGAGTAGAGCACACCTTGGCGGAGTAGAGCACACCTTGGCGGAGTAGAGCACACCTTGGCGGAGTAGAGCACACCTTGGCGGAGTAGAGCACACCTTGGCGGAGTAGAGCACACCTTGGCGGAGTAGAGCACACCTTGGCGGAGCAGAGCACACCTTGGCGGAGTAGAGCACACCTTGGCGGAGCAGAGCACACCTTGGCGGAGTAGAGCACACCTTGGCGGAGTAGAGCACACCTTGGCGGAGTAGAGCACACCTTGGCGGAGTAGAGCACACCTTGGCGGAGTAGAGCACACCTTGGCGGAGTAGAGCACACCTTGGCGGAGTAGAGCACACCTTGGCGGAGTAGAGCACACCTTGGCGGAGCAGAGCACACCTTGGCGGAGTAGAGCACACCTTGGCGGAGTAGAGCACACCTTGGCGGAGTAGAGCACACCTTGGCGGAGTAGAGCACACCTTGGCGGAGTAGAGCACACCTTGGCGGAGTAGAGCACACCTTGGCGGAGTAGAGCACACCTTGGCGGAGTAGAGCACACCTTGGCGGAGTAGAGCACACCTTGGCGGAGTAGAGCACACCTTGGCGGAGTAGAGCACACCTTGGCGGAGTAGAGCACACCTTGGCGGAGTAGAGCACACCTTGGCGGAGCAGAGCACACCTTGGCGGAGCAGAGCACACCTTGGCGGAGCAGAGCACACCTTGGCGGAGCAGAGCACACCTTGGCGGAGTAGAGCACACCTTGGCGGAGTAGAGCACACCTTGGCGGAGCAGAGCACACCTTGGCGGAGTAGAGCACACCTTGGCGGAGTAAAGCACACCTTGGCGGAGTAGAGCACACCTTGGCGGAGCAGAGCACACCTTGGCGGAGTAGAGCACACCTTGGCGGAGTAAAGCACACCTTGGCGGAGCAGAGCACACCTTGGCGGAGTAGAGCACACCTTGGCGGAGCAGAGCACACCTTGGCGGAGCAGAGCACACCTTGGCGGAGTAGAGCACACCTTGGCGGAGTAGAGCACACCTTGGCGGAGTAGAGCACACCTTGGCGGAGTAGAGCACACCTTGGCGGAGTAGAGCACACCTTGGCGGAGTAGAGCACACCTTGGCGGAGTAGAGCACACCTTGGCGGAGTAGAGCACACCTTGGCGGAGCAGAGCACACCTTGGCGGAGTAGAGCACACCTTGGCGGAGCAGAGCACACCTTGGCGGAGTAGAGCACACCTTGGCGGAGTAGAGCACACCTTGGCGGAGTAGAGCACACCTTGGCGGAGTAGAGCACACCTTGGCGGAGTAGAGCACACCTTGGCGGAGTAGAGCACACCTTGGCGGAGCAGAGCACACCTTGGCGGAGTAGAGCACACCTTGGCGGAGTAGAGCACACCTTGGCGGAGTAGAGCACACCTTGGCGGAGTAGAGCACACCTTGGCGGAGTAGAGCACACCTTGGCGGAGTAGAGCACACCTTGGCGGAGTAGAGCACACCTTGGCGGAGTAGAGCACACCTTGGCGGAGTAGAGCACCTTGGCGGAGTAGAGCACACCTTGGCGGAGTAGAGCACACCTTGGCGGAGTAGAGCACACCTTGGCGGAGTAGAGCACACCTTGGCGGAGTAGAGCACACCTTGGCGGAGTAGAGCACACCTTGGCGGAGAAGAGCACACCTTGGCGGAGGAGAGCACACCTTGGCGGAGTAGAGCACACCTTGGCGGAGTAGAGCACACCTTGGCGGAGTAGAGCACACCTTGGCGGAGTAGAGCACACCTTGGCGGAGTAGAGCACACCTTGGCGGAGTAGAGCACACCTTGGCGGAGCAGAGCACACCTTGGCCGAGTAGAGCACACCTTGGCGGAGTAGAGCACACCTTGGCGGAGTAGAGCACACCTTGGCGGAGTAGAGCACACCTTGGCGGAGTAGAGCACACCTTGGCGGAGTAGAGCACACCTTGGCGGAGTAGAGCACACCTTGGCGGAGTAGAGCACACCTTGGCGGAGTAGAGCACACCTTGGCGGAGTAGAGCACACCTTGGCGGAGTAGAGCACACCTTGGCGGAGTAGAGCACACCTTGGCGGAGTAGAGCACACCTTGGCGGAGTAGAGCACACCTTGGCGGAGTAGAGCACACCTTGGCGGAGTAGAGCACACCTTGGCGGAGAAGAGCACACCTTGGCGGAGGAGAGCACACCTTGGCGGAGTAGAGCACACCTTGGCGGAGTAGAGCACACCTTGGCGGAGTAGAGCACACCTTGGCGGAGTAGAGCACACCTTGGCGGAGTAGAGCACACCTTGGCGGAGTAGAGCACACCTTGGCGGAGCAGAGCACACCTTGGCCGAGTAGAGCACACCTTGGCGGAGTAGAGCACACCTTGGCGGAGTAGAGCACACCTTGGCGGAGTAGAGCACACCTTGGCGGAGTAGAGCACACCTTGGCGGAGTAGAGCACACCTTGGCGGAGTAGAGCACACCTTGGCGGAGTAGAGCACACCTTGGCGGAGTAGAGCACACCTTGGCGGAGTAGAGCACACCTTGGCGGAGCAGAGCACACCTTGGCGGAGTAGAGCACACCTTGGCGGAGTAGAGCACACCTTGGCGGAGCAGAGCACACCTTGGCGGAGTAGAGCACACCTTGGCGGAGTAGAGCACACCTTGGCGGAGTAGAGCACACCTTGGCGGAGTAGAGCACACCTTGGCGGAGTAGAGCACACCTTGGCGGAGTAGAGCACACCTTGGCGGAGCAGAGCACACCTTGGCGGAGTAGAGCACACCTTGGCGGAGTAGAGCACACCTTGGCGGAGCAGAGCACACCTTGGCGGAGTAGAGCACACCTTGGCGGAGTAGAGCACACCTTGGCGGAGTAGAGCACACCTTGGCGGAGTAGAGCACACCTTGGCGGAGTAGAGCACACCTTGGCGGAGTAGAGCACACCTTGGCGGAGCAGAGCACACCTTGGCGGAGTAGAGCACACCTTGGCGGAGCAGAGCACACCTTGGTGGAGCAGAGCACACCTTGGCGGAGTAGAGCACACCTTGGCGGAGCAGAGCACACCTTGGTGGAGCAGAGCACACCTTGGCGGAGTAGAGCACACCTTGGCGGAGCAGAGCACACCTTGGTGGAGCAGAGCACACCTTGGCGGAGTAGAGCACACCTTGGCGGAGTAGAGCACACCTTGGCGGAGTAGAGCACACCTTGGCGGAGTAGAGCACACCTTGGCGGAGTAGAGCACACCTTGGCGGAGTAGAGCACACCTTGGCAGAGTAGAGCACACCTTGGCGGAATAGAGCACGGTGTCGTCGGAGTTGAGCTGCAGCATGCGGCTCGTGCCGTACGACGCCAGGTTCAGGGCGGCGCGTGGCTCACCCTGTCGCCACACACATGGGCAGACAGGTGGAATGAAGAATGAAGGGGCAGCAGGGATGAGACGAAATGGACCACGGCAATCCACACATCCACGCACTCATGCACGCATGGTGCACCCTCCGCCCAGAATAGCCAGCCACGAGAGCCTGAACGAGCCGGCACCCACCTGAGAGCCAGTGGTGACAATAAGCAGGTCGCGCGGGGAGAAGGCACTCATGTCCTCCGCCTTGAGCTGAGAGGCACGTGCACACACAAACAAGCAATGCACGCACGCACACACACACACACACACACACACACACACACACACACACACACAAGCAATGCACGCACACACACACACACACATCCAAGGCACACACACACCACAGGCACAAGCAATGCATGCGCGCACACACACACACGCAAGGCACGCACACACAGAAGCATACGAACGCACACGGATGCACAGCGTGTGAATAAGGAGGGGTGCAGCGATGGTGGGGTGCAAAGGTGGTGGGGTGCAAAGGTGGTGGGGTGCAAAGGTGGTGGGGCGCAAAGGTGGTGGGGTGCAGCGATGGTGGGGTGCAAGGTGGTGGGGTGCAAAGGTGGTGGGGTGCAAAGGTGGTGGGGTGCAAAGGGTGGGGTGCAAAGGTGGTGGGGTGCAAAGGTGGTGGGGGTGCAAAGGTGGTGGGGTGCAAAGGTGGTGGGGTGCAAAGGTGGTGGGGTGCAAAGGTGGTGGGATGCAAAGGTGGTGGGGTGGCAAGGTGGTGGGGTGCAAAGGGTGGTGGGGTGCAAAGGTGGTGGGGGTGCAAAGGTGGTGGGGTGCAAAGGTGGTGGGGTGCAAAGTGGTGGGGTGCAAAGGTGGTGGGGTGCAAGGTGGTGGGGGGGTGCAAAGGTGGTGGGGTGCAAAGGTGGTGGGGTGCAAGAATGGGTGCGGGGATGGTGGGTGCAGGATGCGTGGCGGGGCATACGAGCACGGAGGGGTCGAAGGGCGCCTGGCCGTCGCGGAAGGCGCATCGAGGTAGGTGCGCAGCGACATGCCCAGGAACACCTGGGGGGACAAACACAAGGGCGGGGGGAGGTGTGGGGACTGGTGCAAGGGTTGGAGTATAACAAGACATACAAACAAGAAACGTACCCTCCCCCCTCCCATGCCACACCCAACCATCATCAAACCGTGTCATACATCTCCCCGCCAAAAGCCCACCAGGCGCCTGGCCTGTCGGCGGCGTCAGCATGGGCCTTGACAGCCCCCAAGCGGTCCACGTTGGGGACAGCGGGCGCCCTCAGCCCATCACATGCCATCCCCCCCACCCTCCCCCCCCCCCTTTCCTCCCAGCCCACCAGGCGCCTGCCAGCAGCGTCAGCAGCGGCCTTAATAGCGCCGAGGCGGTGCACGTTGGAGGCGAACTGCGTGGTGATGACGCGCCCCTTGGCCGCCAGCACGGCGTCCATCAGCGCCGCCGCCACACTGCTCTCCGACGTCGTGCGCCCGGGGGCCAGGCTGTTGGTGCTGTCACTCATCATCTGGGGGGGGGGGGCAGAGGAGAGGGGGGAGGGATGAGGACGATGCACACAGACAGGCGTGGGAGGACGGCGCGAGGAAGGGGAGGACGATGCACATATGGTGGAGAAAAGGAGACCGGTTGACATGGTGAAGGGGAAAGTGACCCTCTCTCCAGCGTCACCCCCTCCCTCCCTCTCACCAGCGTCACCCCCTCCTTGGACAGCCCTCGAGGAACTCGCGGTCGAACTTGCGGCCGTCCAACGGGTCCTCATCAATCTGATGGCGCACGGGCACGCACCGCAACAACTGGGATTGCACGCTAGAAAGGAGGAGAGAGAGAGAGAGAACACGAGCAGGGTGACAAATCACAGGAATCACTGCGGTACAGACAGCCGTGCTTAATGCGCAATGCTCAATGCCAAGAGTCCAATGTGCGACACTTGATCTGGAAAGGCCAGTAAACAGAGTTCAGACCTCGGCGCCCATGCCCCATGCCCCATGCCCCATGCCCATGCCCCATGCCCCATGCCCCATGCCCATGCCCCATGCCCCATGCCCCATGCCATGCATGCCCCATGCTCCATGCCATGCCCCATGCCATGCCCCCATGCCATGCCCCATGCCCCATGCCATGCCCCATGCCCCAGGCACCCAGTTGGCACGGCTTGCCTTCCAGTCGCCGGTGTGGAAGATGGTGCCGTCGTCGCAGCGCAGCACGAGCCCGCAGCAGTCGGGGATGGAGTGCGTCACGCGCACCGGCTCCACCTGGAACGGCCCCGCCGTGAACGGCGTGCGCATCTGCACTGCTTTGCACCGCTTCTCAAACGGCAGGTTGTGCTCCTTGAGGCGCCGCTTCACCAGCTGCAGGCGCAGGCAGGGGGAGTGGGAGAGGGAGGGGGAAAGGGGAAAGGGAGGGAAGGGGAAAGGGAGAGGAAGAGGATGGGGAGGAGGAATGGCAGGAGATCGAGCAGAGCATAGGAGCATATTAGGGAGTTGGGACGTGGGATCAGGGGAGAAAGGGTGAAAGTAAGCGACAGCAGCAAGATTGAAACGAGACAAGATCAAACTGGGAGGGGGTGGAAAGGGAGACGGGGGGCCGGGGGGGAGTTGGAGGGAAGGAGAAAGGGTTGATGGTACAAGTGGAGAGGTCAACAGAGGGGACGACGGGAGAGGGGGCAGGCGGGAAGGTGAGAGAGGGGGGAGGGGAGGGGATATGAGACGCATTGCCTGCATGGTGAAGCCCGTGGCGAAGACAGGCGTGGAGGGGTCCAGCGCTGGCAGCACCTGGCAGCACACGGGGGCGAGAGGCAGGGAGAGGAGGGGGCGAGAGGCAGGGAGAAGAGGGGGCGAGAGGCAGGGAGAGGAGGGGGGTGAGAGGCAGGGAGTGCCAAGATGGGATGAGAAAGCATGAATGGATGTGCGCGGAGCAGCCAGTCCACAACAGAGAAGCCCCAATCCATGCCCTCTCAACACAAAATGCCACGTGGAAGCATGTTATTGGACCCGCGTGCGTGCCTCTCCCCCGCTCACCCAGGGCAGCGCGCCGATGTGGTCCTCGTGGCCGTGCGTGATGATGAGCGCCTCAATCTTGTGGCGCCAGCGGTGGATGAACGCCGTGTCCGGCAGCACGCGCTGCATGCCCACCTCGTCGTAGCTGGGTGGGGAAGAGGCGGGCAGGGAAGGGGGAAACGGGGGTGAGGAGGGGGGAGAAGGGGGAAAGGCGTAGGAAGAGAAGGTCGGGGGGGAGGAAAAGCATGACTGGAGGATGCTGCTGCTGTGGCGCCTCCATGGATGTGGCACGCACGCATGGGCAGCACGCATGGGCAGCCCGCATTGGGCAGCACGCATTGGGCAGCACGCATTGGGCAGCACGCATGGGCAGCACGCATGGGCAGCACGCATTGGGCAGCACGCATGGGCAGCACGCATTGGGCAGCACGCATTGGGCAGCACGCATTGGGCAGCACGCATTGGGCATCACGCATTGGGCAGCACGCATTGGGCAGCACGCATTGGGCAGCACGCATGGGCAGCACGCACGGGCAGCACGCATTGGGCAGCACGCATGGGCAGCACGCATGGGCAGCACGCATGGGCAGCACGCATGGGCAGCACGGATTGGGCAGCACGTATTGGGCAGCACGCATTGGGCAGCACGCATTGGGCAGCACGCATTGGGCATCACGCATTGGGCAGCACGCATTGGGCAGCACGCATGGGAAGCACGCATGGGCAGCACGCATGGGCAGCACGCATGGGAAGCACGCATGAGGCAGCACGCATGGGCAGCACGCATGGGCAGCACGCATGGGGGCAGCACGCATGGGCAGCACGCATGGGCAGCACGCATGGGCAGCACACATTGGGCAGCACGCATTGGGCAGCACGCATGGGCAGCACGCATGGGCAGCACGCATTGGGCAGCACGCATTGGGCAGCACGCATTGGGCAGCACGCATTGGGCAGCACGCATTGGGCAGCACGCATGGGCAGCACGCATGGGCAGCACGCATGGGCAGCACGCATGGGCAGCACGCATGAGGCAGCACGCATGGGCAGCACGCATGGGCAGCACGCATGAGGCAGCAGTGAGGGCAGTCATGGAGGGTGCGGTGAATATGCAAGCCAAGAAGCACCGCCTGCTGCATTGTTTCTGCCACGGGCGCCCAGCACAAGGTGACAGCAAGGGCCAGCGAGAATGGAAGGGAGTGGCACGAGGAGCAACCTTCAGACCAGCCATTAGGCGGCCACCCTTGGAAGGCAAGCGGCTGCCATGGCTCCCATCCCTCACCACTCCTCACCACTCTCTTCTCCCCAATCCCGCATTGCCCCCCGTGAAAGCGTCGCGAGATCAGTCCCCTGCCACCCAATCCCATGCTGGTGGTCAGCCGCTAAGCCTCCCCTAAACGCCGAACCTCGACCGCTCGTCCCGCCCCGTGGTTGGCACTCACTCGGGGAACATGAGGCCGGCGTCGATCATGACGTAGCGGTCGCGGTGGCCCACCAGCATGCAGTTCATGCCGATCTCGCCCACCCCGCCGATCGGCAGCACGCGCAGCGGCGGCCCCTCGGGCCCGTCGTGGAATCGCTCCAGCTTGCGCGCCACGCTGTCGTCGCGCGCCCGCCGCACCCCCGCCCCGCCCCTCCGTGCGCCTCCCCCTCCGCCCCCCCCGCCTCCCCCCGAGGGTCGGTCGCGTCTCGAGCCTGCGGCTGAGGGTCGGGAAGACCTGGGCTTGGATGGCGCGGGGCGGCTACCAGCGCCGGGCGCACCTGTAGATTCCGCAGCGGCGGAGATTCGAGGCGAGGCGGAAGCGTCCGCCACGCGCCCGCGCCCACTCACCTCCCTGCCGCAACCTCTCCTAAACTCGCTGCTTCGCGCCAAAAAGGCGGATCTAAACAACACGGGCTCTAAGGGTGCACGATGCGATACCCAGACGCCACGACGCACGCGTGAGCGTGCCGCACTATTTTCCGCCATTCCGTGGAGCCCCGTGCTGCGTGCATTCCCGCCGATCAGCCTGTCGTGCCATGGGATGTCCGACACTCGCTGCGGGTGCACAGCCACGCCTCGAGACGCCATCGTTGCCGCAGCGGGACGAGCGTTGGCGCGCTATGCAAGGCAATTAATGACGCCACGTCCCTCAAAGCGCACCTCCGCAGCTCTGCGCGCTCTCCCGCCAACGAGCTGCTTGCTGACCATGCAGCCGAAGCCCAGAAGACGCAAACTTGCCTCGAGTGTTTAGTGTGAGGGGCAGGGGGTTCTGGTTCAGCGATGATCGAATGTGGGGACGGGTGACAGTGCAGATTCCCAAGACACTCGTCCCAAGAAAGATGGTGTTGGAATGCACCGTCAAACTGTAATGCGATATAGTTCTGTAGAAAATATCAAAGGCTGTATAGAGAGAAAAGGGAGTGTTCAAAGTAGATTGGTGTATGAATTTTAATTCCTTGCCGACTTGTACGGCTTATCGTGCACACTCGAACACCCCTGAACCCTCGGCTCAGTCCCGGACCTTTCGATCCGAACATTCGACACTATTCAAGACCTTTGGACCGAACCATCAAGGGTTCTCCAAGCCTCTCGACGACCTCACGAGTACCTTTGATCCTTTTCCTGAACCTTTTCCTCTCACAGCAAAGAGGGGATTACTATGAACCGGGGGGGCGTTCGTCTGCGCATTGCGGAGTGGAGCCGGAAGGGGAGTGTGCGACAATTTTCTAGGGGATTCGAAGTTTCTTGTGTTAAAGTGAGAACAGAATAATAGAGTAGAGAGAGAGTACATGTGAATATACCAAGTTTTATACCCTCTAAGAGGTGGCCCTATACAGTCTATGCAAACATAGGAGATACACATGTTTGACACACCCCCTAGACTGCATAGGGGCAGGTCCTGAACAAGCAGCTCAGGGCGGCACTACTAGTCCAGCCTCTGAGACAAGGGTCTAAAAGACCAGTCAGAAGGAGTACAGACAAGGCAAGAACAAGACCAGGGCGGCACTACTAGTCCAGCCACTGGGAGAGGACACAAGTCCAGTCTGAGTACACATATAAAGAACAGTACAAAGTCAAGGCCCTAGCAAGTGAGAGGCTACAGGAACTAGACCAAGCTGCACACAGTGCCGCTGATGATCTTTAGGCGCAAGCGCCTTCGTAAAGATATCAGCTGTGTTGGCACCTGAGGCCAAGTGTACTACGCGAGCCTGGCGTCGATGCTGTAGCTCGTGCAGGAGGAAGTACCGCAGCTGAATATGCTTCGCTCTGCCCTCGAGTCGAGGCTCCTGACACAGGAGGATCATGGCCCTGTTGTCAGCGAACAGGACCGGGGCAGAGCTAGGCCGCTCACCTAAGTCCGTGAGCAAGAAGGTTAGCCAGCGGAGCTCCTGTGGCGCCATGGCACCAGCGTAGATCTCGGCCTCACAGCTAGACTGGGCAGCAGACGAGGAGCGGGTAGCTCTTCACGAGACGGCACCTGAACCAAGGCAGAAGCAGTAGCCCTGGGTAGACCTGAGTGTCTCGGCGTCGTCTGCCCAAGAAGCGTCTGTGTGTCCAGTAAGGACAACTGGCCCACGTCCTCCTAGCACTAACCCCATGCCTGATGTACTAGCAAGATGACGCAAAACCCTCTTAGCGGCAGACCAGTGCTGCGGTCGGTATCTGCCTGTGGCCACAAAGCGAGCCAGGATGCTGAGAGGGTATGCGAAATCTGGGCGAGTGCAAGTCATCAGGTACATAAGGCAACCCACCAGCTCTGCGTAGGGGCCGCTGGGCTCTACCGACTCCTTAGAAACTGGAGTAGAGAGTCTGTGGTCTACAGGCAGAGGGGTGGGCTGTGCAGAGGAGAACTGAAGGCCGAACCTCTGAAGGACCTAGCGCACCAAGTGTGACTGAGTCAGGGTGATAGTGCGCGCTGCTCTGTCCTTGGAGATCTGCAAGCGAAGGTAACGGCACAGTTCTCCAAGGTCAGTGGACATGTGTCTCTTCAGCAGCTCTGCCTTCACTGAGGCCAGTGCGTCCCTGTCTGCTGTGGCAAAGACCAGGTCGTCGACGTAAACAAGGATGTAGAACGGAGTCTGGCCAGCACGAACGAAGAGTGAGGGGTCTGCGGAAGACGGAAAGAACTGCAGGTCAGCAAGGGTAGCACGCAGCGTGTCGTGCCACTCACAGGGAGCCTGGCGCAGGCCGTAGACGGGGCGCCGCAGGAGCCACTGGGTCCTAGGAGGGAAGGTGCCAGTAAAGCCCTGAGGGCGACGCAAGTAGACCTGCTCGTGTAGGCTGACCTGAAGGAAGGCAGTGGAGAAGTCGAGGGAGTGAAGCTCGTAGTCACGCTGAGCAGCTAGGTGTAACAGAACCCGAAGAGTAGTCATCTTCGGGGTCGGAGCGAAGGTCTGGAAGAAGTCCACCCCCTCACGCTGACTGAAGCCTCTAGCCACGTAGCGCGCCTTGAACACAGGCGGCTCTCCAGGAGGGCGCTTCACCTTGAAGAGCCAGCGGCCATCGACTACGTTCACCCCAGGCGGGGGAACTGCGTCGACGAAGGTGCCGGTGGATCTCCAAGATGCCATCTCCTGCTCCATGGCAGCTATCCACTGCGAGGCCCAAGGTCCCGAGGTCGCCTCAGCGTAAGTGCGAGGGGTCGGGATGTCGAAAGCGTCTGGGTCACCCTCAGGGACTAGCAGCATGGAACAGAGATGGGGAGCAGCCTCGGACAGGAAAGCAAGCTCGAACTGGCGGTCCTCCAGGACGTCACTGCCGAGGGCAGGAGCACCCCCGACAGACGGAGGACAGGCAGGGTCAGAGACCAGAGCGGTGGCGTAGTCAAGGCGGCGGGTAGAGGCGAAGTCAGCGACCGCAGCTACAAGAGCGTCAAGACACGAGACCGGAATAGACGTGTCGGTAACGAGAGAGAAGGACCCGAGGAACAAGAGGACGAGCGGCACGAAGGTAGTCAGACAGAGGGGGGGGCGCAACAACAAGGTAGGATGGAGGAGGCGACAAGAGAAGGGGAGGACGAGACGCGTGGGAACGAAGCAACATAGGGTGGGAGTGCAAGACAGGGGAGACAGGACAAGCACGGGAGGGACGGCGAGACCAGACGTGAGACGGAGGAGTCGGGTCAGGAGACAGAGGAGGGGACACAGGGGGGGAACGAGGGGGAAGACGAGCCGGGGACGCTTCCGGCGGAGGGAACACAGGGCCGTAGACGGAAGAGGAGGAGACGGCCAGAGAGGAACAGACGCAGGGTTAGGGGACGGAAGGCCGAGCAGGCGAAGGGCTCACACCGGCGGGGACTGCTGCGGCGGCGGCACAACTCCGACACCGGGACCGCAAGCTGCTCCTCGGCTACCACCGGCACACTCCACGCCAGCACCCCCAGAGGGAACACCTCCAGGGCCCGAAATCCCTCGAGGACCGGTACCACCCCCAGAGCTACCGGGACTAGCACGCACTCCAACGCCAGCACCCCCAGAGTCAACGAACGGGTGCTGCGACGGCGGCGGCAGCGACAACGACGGCTGCGGCGGCGGCGGCGGAAGTGACAATGGCTGCGACAACAGGGGCGACAGCGGCGGCAGAGGCGGTGGAGGAGGGGACGCCTGGGGAGGGGCAACCGGCGAGGACTGCGCCGCAGGACCACCAGAGTCAGAAGACTCCTCAACCGGGACCACCGACGGAAGAGGGGTGACGTGGGACACACCAGAGGGGACAGGATGGGGAGGAGGAGGGGGGGGGGCAGGGACTACCGGGGAAGGAGTGACCAGGAACAGGGGGGGGGTAACCGGGGGACCGCGGTGGGGGAAGCGACGGTAGAAGGAGACGGACTCATCAAAGGTGACGTCGCGAGAGTGAAAGAAGCGGTGAGACGGCGGGTGGTAGAAGTGCTAGTTGGACGCGTCAAGGGGAAAACCGAAGAAGACGCAGGGAAGGGTGCGAGCAGGGAGCTTGTCCGTGCCGGAGGCACGGACGTGAGCAAGGCAGCCCCAGACATGGAACGCAGACACGTCACCAGGAGACCCAGTCCAAAGACGGGTCGGCGAAACCTGCGGCTGCTGGGGTGCGGCCACAGGTTAAGCTGGTGAGAAGCGTAGCGCACATCGAACGGCCACAGAAAATGGGGTGCACCGGCATGGATCATGGAGGTGCGAGCCACCTCCATGACCAAACCGATGCGTCGCTCAGCGACCCCATTCTGCTGTGAGGAGTCCGGTAGGGTGAACGTCTGGGTGATGCCGTCCGCACGACAAAAGCGACCAAGGACACCTGAGGCAAACTCGCCACCACGGTCGGAGTGAAGGCGCAAGACAGGGAGACCTCGGTGGACACGGGCAGAGACAAGCCAGGGGATGAGAGCGTCAGGCACGTCGGCCTTCCACTCCAGGGGAAAGACCGAGGTGTAGCGAGTGAAGTCGTCGACAAGCACAAGGAAGTAGCGCTCTCGACGCGGCCCATGGACGAGGGCAGGGCCCCAGACGTCCATGTGCAGGGTCTGCAGCGGCGCGGCGGTAGGGGGAAACGAGGAGGAGTGAGGGGCATGGCAAAGCCGACCCTCGACGCAAGGCGTGCAAGGTGGGGCTGGGGAGGAGGGAAAAGCGGGGAGAGAACCAGGGAGATCAAGGACGAGACCGTGCTGGGACATGTGACGCAGACGCGGGAGCGCAGGGTGACCTAGGCTGTGGTGCCAAAGGAGAGTCGGGTGAGTGAGACCGACAGGAGCAGGCAGCAGCAACCTGGGTAGACGCAACCACCTGAGGGGGCGCCCCAGCCGGGGGGGTCACGGTGTCCAGAGTGAACAGGCCGGACACCGGGTCCCGGGGGAACGTGGACAGGGGGACACCAGTGGCGGCCTCGGTACAGACATCATACCGCTCGTGACCAGGGAACGTAGTGGTGACGCCAAGGTCCTGGAGGCAGCCGACACCAACTAGGTTCCTGGAGAACGAGGGGATATGCAGACCTGTAAGAGAGCCCGAAGGAACCGCCGGACAGGGAAGGGTGGTGGAACTGCGGGCGACTACCGGACCGCCGGTGGGGTCAGCAAGAGAAACGGCAGCAGGAACAGGAAGCGGCGTCAGTGTAGTAGAGTCGCGGAAGAAGCACCGGGAAGCGCCAGTGTCCAAGATGAAGGAAAGCGAAGCAATGGTGTCCGGCGACGTGGCGACGGCGGAAGCACCAAGGCTAAACAAAGCAGGAGATCCTATGCCTGACGCAGCAGGGGAGGCTAAGCTAGGCACACCTACACTAGACGACAGTGAGTAATAAGCGGGAAGCGCACTAGAGT